GGGCGGAGAGGATGGGCCGTCCTACACAGTAGAGATCCCAGCACACCTCCACACCTACCCTGTGTTTCATGCCTCAAAGTTGTTGCCGTGTGTCACAAGTCAACAGTTTCCATCTAGGAGATCCATGATTCCTCCAGACATGGACAGAAGGTACGACATTGACAACATTGTAGGTGAAGACGTGTTCAGAACAGGAGGTAGAGGTCGTCCGCAAAAGCAATACAAGGTTCGGTTTGCTTATCAGGAACCAGAGGACGACCGCTGGTTTACTGGAACATAACTTCTAGAAACAGCTCCCGACATAGTTAGAGCCTATGAGAGAGGACTGAGTTATTCTCGGAGGACCTCAAATTCAGGCCGGCGGGAGTGAAACGGTTTTCACCTGTTAGCAGTAGCGAATGCAGATCCCAGGGCTCGATCCCTTGTTTTCACCTGACCTGCGTACAGTATCTGTGTCGACCCCGAGTGGTTGAACCCGTGACCTGTGTTTTGACAGTTGTTGTTGTCTGTCGTAGGTCTGTGTAGTGGTAAGGGTTCGATTTGTAGGTCTGTCGGGTAGGAGTCTTAGCAAGGTCTAGAAGTTGTAGCTGTGGCTCCTCCGAAAGGTCAAGGTCGTAGCTGCTACAGTCCTGAAGGGCCAAGGTTGTAGCTGCTACAGTATCGAAAAGCCAAGTCCACGGCCTTCCGGAAGGTCCTAGTGTGGCCTTTCGATGTTGCTCACGTTTAGGCTGAGGCAAGTGGGCAAGTGGTGGAGTCTACCCGTGCCGAGTCAGCAGTCCCAGTCCCAGTCAGTCCTAGTCCAGTCCAGCAAGTACCGTATGGGACTGTGTGCACCACGGGCATGGGAAAGGGACCAGACCAACGAGCTACATAAGTATAAATTGAGGGGCAGCGACCAGCCATTCATTCATTTCCTGCGTAAGCCATGCGGAAGCGCTGCCATAGCGACTTGTGCGAGGTGGTCTGCAGTGAGCCCGAGGACGAAGTGGGCGAGAAGGAAGTTAGCCATAGCGATAGAGTAGCAGCAGCCATAGCCGCCATAGCTGTAGGTGTGTGTGGGTGTGTGCGAGTGTGTGCGAGTGTGTAGAGTGATGCGTGTGGGGTATCCAGGGTGGTCCGGTGTGCGAACAGCAGTGTTGTGTGAGTGACGAACAGAGACTTGCAATGACTTGCTGATTTCTACTGCTGTAACTGACTGCGAGGTTGTATCATACAATGTTTTGCTTGCTGAGTTTTGCGGCGTGTTTTGCTGTGTGCGGTTGTGTGGTCGCACTGAGGGCTGTCCGCTGTTCTAAAAATAGAACAAATTAACAGCGGTGGAAGTTGAGTGTTAAGTGCTGTAGGGTTTGTTGTAGAGGCCGACCAGGCCCTTACTGAAACGGTACCGGTTGTTCGGTCCAATAGGGTCCAGTAGGTCTAGGCTAGAATCTAGAAGTAGGAGAGCTCGAGTAGGTACAGGACTTTTTTGGGGCTTTTCATTTTCGCATGACAGCGTTCGGGGCAAACCAAGTATTGCAGCGCTGAAAGTCTACAGCGGCACCTGAGACTTCAGCTGGAGTTGACAGCCATAGCCGGCCACCTGAGAGCTTGCCAGAGCTGGGGCACTCTCAACGCATCTACCCCTGGGGGTATCTGCATGAGGCAGGGCTATCGGAGGCTCTTCAGAGTGTATTGGTGGATGTTGTTGCTGGCGCCCTACTTCACAGGGGCTTCTGTAGCAGCCGGGCAGCCATAGTTGCCTTCTTCTTCGTCAGAGTGACTCATCGGCACTGAGGACTACATCGCTGTTCATGATCTTCATTTGGGTGTATGGCGCTGGCCTGTGGGAGGCTGTTTCCGTACAATGCTAGACTCCGAGAGCGGAGTAGTGGGTGGAGTGTGTGGTTCTGGGGTGGCGAGATACTGGGTTGAACTCTGTAACGATAATTGAGCTTGACTGAGTTGAGTTGGCTCATCATCTGTGCTATATTCCAATTGTGATCTTCGCAGTATCATCTTGTGATTGGTTGTTGGGAGTTTGCCAGAGAAAGAGAAACACTGTGTGTATTCTCCCCATCTGTGCATGGTTGTTATTCCGCTGCTTATCTCTGGTCTGTGTGCAGTGTGGACTTTGTCTCTCCTCCCCTTTGTCTTGCGCATGTATGGGCATGTGTGAGATACTTTGTGTGTGAGTGGCGAGAAAATTGTCAGACAACCAAGTTCATAACAGTTGGTATCGGAGCGGAGATTGGGTTTGGAGCACTGAGGGTTGAGCGCAACATGGGCATCTTCTTCTTCTGGCCCTAACTGGCGAGAAGTTCCATGGCGATTCTTCATCTTCAGTGAAGATCCAGTGGAGGAGAAGATATACAAGCGGTGATTGCAAGGAATCAGTGAGTGATTGATCAGGCACCCTGAGCCTGTCTGAGTGCCTGACAGGAATTGGCGAGAACAAGGGTATTTCGCCATCCACCCTTCTGAGCCCAATTGATGACTGAGTTCAGGGTGGCGAATTATACCCTAATCCAGTGATTACTGGGTGGCGGCATCAAACCCAGAGTAGCGCTTGGGGAGAATTGATCCCGGGATCAATCTCCTGTTGAATTAACCCTACCCAGGGCTAAATTTAGCACCAGTGGCTTACCCCTCCAGTGGCGAGATACTTCCAGGAGAGTTCTCTATCGCTAAGGGGCCAGATTCAGTGAATCTGAGAGTTGGGGGTGAAGCGCCACATCATACTGGGCAAGATCAACAAGTTTCAAGAGATTCTATGCGTGGAGATCAGTGGAGGAGTGTCTGCATGTATGGGCATGTGTGAGATACTTTGTGTGTGAGTGGCGAGAAAATCGTCAGACAACCAAGTTCATAACAAACTTGTATAGGCACTGATGCGCCATAGCCATCTGAAGTGAGGTTGTATCTGAGCTGCGTTCTTGGTACTATATCTCTGAGTTCTGAGTGGGCGCTTGACGCCAGTTTGCTGCGCAACCTGTGCACCCACCAATAGATGGAGCCTTCTCGGGGGTGCTAGCAGTACCTACCTATACGGGGCCCATACCCTATGGGCCTATGGTTATTTAAAAAAAAAAACAAAGCTCTTGTTTTGCACCTGCTGTATGGGGTATTGACCCTATGGTTAGACCAGCAGCGCGCTTCCCAGCCATTATTTTGCAGCGTGGCGCATGCACACCGCAACTTTTGGGTGTCTGCTGCCAGAGCAAAATGGCTGGCGACGCCAGCCAAAAGGAGGCCCACACTGGTTCGTGTTTTTTTTTGTCGGTGCAGGGTGTTCCGAGCCCCGGGAAAAAACGACTCAGAAGTACTGTACTGCTGGAATTAGTCCTGGTTCACCTCTGGCTAAGGGTTCGGGCCAGAACTGAGCTGATCAGGATGTGAATCGGGTTTTGGTTCTCCCTTTCACTCACTGGAAAGAGAAGAGCCTACCGTCTTCACCCGAATGCATCGCCGGGTCACTCTACCTGTATTTGTTTGAACTTTTGGTCCAGATACAGCGATAATGACAGGCCGTTCTATTCGGGTGAAAACGGTAGGACCTATTGGCCTCTCGAGCTCAACACCCCTGCCAAGGACTTAAACATTTCTTTTATCCCACTGCTTGGTTCTTGCTGCCCGCTGCTGGATGAAGAAAAGGAAGCGCTCTGACCTGGGGTAGTGATATCTTCTAAGTGCTTCCTTGTACTCCTGAAGTATCAAATAATCTATAGATCGATCTATATAGATTGAATGCTATAAATTGAATGCTACTTTAGGGACTTGGTTCATGAGGCGATGTTGCTAAAATTTACAGAGGTTCATTGGTTTGATGATTTGAGTGCAAAATATTAATTCAAGTTTTATTCTTCTTGGTGATGTCACCTGAAAGGCTGCAGTGGCATCTTCCTTCAAAAGCAGAGTTTAAAGTTTAAACTTTCAAGTTAAAAAAAAAACAGATTCTCTCAAAATTGGACCTCATATTTATTTCAAATCCCTCAGATAGGCCTCTGTGTCTTGTCACATTGCTCTCAATTACTAGGTTGCCCTATTCTCTAGTGCCTGCTTCTATGTCTCTCTTCGTTATTTGCTGCCATTCTGTTCTTCATCGCTTGCTCCTCTCTCGGCCCTTTGTTCATGTTCTTATTCCTCTTTTTGGCACCTAAGTCTTCTCCTCCTCGGCAGTGCTCCATCAGTGGCGGCACCTGTGATACACCCAGGCCTGGTGGCGCCGCACTGCGCGCCAGGCAGTGCTCCATCAGTGGCGGCACCTGTGATACGCCCAGGCCTGGTGGCGCCGCACTGCGCGCCAAGCTTTGTGAATCGCCAGCGGCACACTTTTTCCCTTTTTTGGCTGGTGGTGCCAGCCATTGTGGTCCGGTATTCCTGGGCCTCTAAAATTTTATGAGTAGGCAATGAAGAAATCTTGCAAGGCTGGGGCCGTGTACTGGCGGCTTAAGCCCCTTGTTTTTTGGTCAACACCTTCCTTTGTTGATAGGATCACTGATCATTTCCTTCAGCTCCTTGTTTTTTTTATCAGCACCTTCCTTCCTCCACCCTATTCTTTATGTCACTTGCTCTTGCTACACGCTATTCTCCTTGTTCTTCTCTAACCTATCTCACTCACTGCGATAGTCACAGTCTATGTCCTTGGACTGAACTGTTAGGGAGAAGGGGAGAGCACACAAATGGATTTGTGGAGTGAGGCTGTCAAAGAAGAAAGCACACTCGATGAATAGAATAATCAGAAGATGCAAATCATCATGGGGGGCTTTACTTTTTTTCGAGAGGAGACGTAATGTGTGTTGCAAAATTCGCAATGAGAAAAACTGTTTATGGGTCTAAGGGTCTGTGTAACAAGCCTGCCTAACTCGCTCAATGACACCTTTCTGCCTCTTCCACTTAGAGGTTGAAGACGAGATACGTTCTCTTCAGTAGGAAAGCTTGAAAATTGAAATATTGGTAACGAATCTTTTTTATGAACTTATCCTCTTTATTTTTTTCAACATGCTTGTGCTCCTTTCCCACAGGTAGGGCTGACCGTAGGCTTGCTGGTGAATTTCATCGGGTCAAGCGCATTAGTCGGTATTACACTAATATTGTTCACATTTCCTCTTCAAGTAAGTTCTGTTCCCCTCCTCCCCCCTCCCC